GGAGTCTCTACACAAGATGTCTGGTGCTCAATTCCATTAGTTGAATAAAATTCTGCCATGTGAAATTCATTCCCCTGGTCACTACAGATAACTTTAACCAATCTGCCAAACTTCCTGTTAACCATCACACAAAAAGCTTCCAAAATCTGACGAGTTTCAGATTTAGACTTCATTAACTAAGTCCAAACAGCTCTAGAATGATCATCCACAATGGTGAGAAAATAGGAATAACCATCATAGGATTTAAAAGCTAGAGGTCCCCAAATGTCCACATGTATCAAATCAAAAATAGATTGCGCTCTACTAGTGCTAACAGGAAATGAGAGCTTTCTTTGTTTAGCTAAATGACAAGTTGCACAGTGTCTAATTTGGTGAGGTTGGAAGTTGTAAGTGACTGTTGTGTGATGGTGTGGTAAAGCTGGAATGTTGGGGAAAAGTTGGTAGAGGCCTCTATTATGTCTGGCGAAACCAATTTGCTTCCTGGTCACTAGGTCCTGAATATGGCAAGAGTCAGATTCAAAATGTAAGAAGAGTGGAAGGTCATGGGTAATTTTGCTGATAAAAATAAGGTTGAAGGTAAAGCTAGGGATCATGAGCACGTTTTGAAGGAATAAACCAGGTTGTAGTCTAACTGTACCAATATGACTAATTGGAATCTTATAACCATTTGGAAAATACACAAATTGGTCGACTGTAGGCTTAGCATCGGTCAATAGGGAAAGTGTGCAACAGTTGTGATCTGAGGCTCCAGTATCTAATATCCAGATTTGTGTTAGGCCCATCAACCATAGTGGTTATGTGAGGATAGAACAAACTTACCAGAGAAGTTGGAAAACTGTGGCAAATGTTGAGTGACAGAATAGGCAGCATGCTTAAGTGAAGGAGAAAGTGGTGGTGAGGGACTCATGTTGTCAGATTGCTATAAGTGAGACTTCAGCTTGCTAAATTCCTCTGTGGTGAACCATTGGCTACCTTGACTGCTCTTTGTATCCAGACTCAGATTGCTACCTGTAGAACCAGTGGCTTTGCTCTCTGGGTCTGACTGAGAAATTGAACCAGCAAAGTTGTTCACTTCTGCCATCTTGGCCTTCTTGTTTTTTAGTCTGCAACACTCTTCTTTCAAGTGTCCATTCTTCTTATAGTATCTGCAGAACTTGCTCTCCATTTCTGTGCCATCCTTTCCACCTTTACCAGGTTCAAATGAACTAAAGCCCTTCTGCTTATCACCCTGAGCTGCAAGTGTTACTGAGGGAACATAGTTATTAGAGTGGCCCTTATCCGATTTAAGCTTCTGTTCATGTTGTAGGATGTCATCAACAACAACTTCCACAACAGGCAATGGCTTCATCATTAACAACTGAGTTTGCACCACATCAAATTCAGGCCTTAGTCCTCGAAGGAACTTGATAAAGTATTCAGTTTCATGCCTCTCCTTACATGCTTCAACAGCTACACAAGGTCTGACTCCAGCAATCACACAGTCATAATCAATAATGGGGTTGAACTGGAGGTATTCCTCCCATAACCCTTTCAAGTGCACATAGTACTGGGTTATAGTTAGACTTCCATTCTTAAAAGGGTCAATTGCTTCCTTCAAATTAGCAAGTCTCAGTGCATTGCAGCTGTCAAACCTCTTCTTAAGTTCATCCCAAAGTGTCTGTGCGACTTCATGCTGCAATACACTACGACGTATATCTTTACCAATTGAATTCAGAATCCAACACAACACCATGGTGTTGGAGGCATCCCACAAAATGAACTCATGATGAGTTTGTTCCGGCATAGGCAAGCTACCATCAATAAACCCAATCTTATGTTTGGTTTTGAGAACCATTCGAACTGCTCTTTGCCACATGTGATAATTGTGTTCATCCAGCAATTCTGAGACTTTAGATTGTCCTAGATTTTCACTAGGCTTGATATAGTAGGGACTCCCAAACGCATAACCCACTTGGTTGTTAGGATTACCAGTATAGATCTGAGCTTGTTCATCATTCTGATTTGGCTAGGTTTGCTGGGCTCGCTGGGTTTGTTGATTTTGAGCATTGCAGTTGAAGCTGCCAAAGGGGATCTCTCCATCACTACCGACGAAGCTGCTGGGTGAAGTATTCATCGGGTTGTTTTGACGCGAAAAGCGGATCACCTCTCTAATACCATATGAGAAACCAAGCTATTAGGGTTGCAACTGGTTGTGAGGACGAAGAAGAATGCGAGAAATGATTGATTGGAAACTCGCAATTTGCTAGGCTTCGCGTTCTTCTATTTATACTAGCGTTCAGAAAGTAAAGGTGATCAAACAGTAAAACATGATTTGTCCATTAAACTGTAATTTAAACTAATACAAATAGAAAACGCCACATGTCTTCGTCTGGTTGGCCTCTCGGTCTCCATCTAATGGTAAGTGCTAGTCTCTACGTCGCCCATTCAACCTTTGCTTAAGTTAGGTGGAGCGGAAGGCAGAAATGAAATGTTTCTGCCTGTCTTCTACTCTGTTCTTCTGCAGCCTTCCTTCTTCAAGCTTCAGTTCAATCCTTCAGCTCTGTTAGGAGCAGGGAGCGACTCCATGCAACGCCGACCTTCGTTGATTTTTATTTATTTAGGGATAAAGAAGGAAGAGGCTCAGATGGCGGTGGGTTTCTGGGAGGACGGTGGGGCTTAGATGGTAGTAGGTTTCAGCAGCTGGGAGACAGGGAAGGGAAGTAGAGGAGTGGCGTGGGTTTTGTTAGGCCCTCCGGCAGCTAAGAGCCTCCGACAGCCGATTGAGATCGATTGATGATGGTGGGGGGGGGGGGGGGAGGAGTTCTCGATCGGGTTTGGGGAAAGAGCCTGATCCCAGTTTTCTTTTGATTTTATTTTCATTTTTACCGTTTTTATTTGAATTTTAACTTAATTCCAAATAAAAATATGATGTGTCGATGACGTGACAACTTATGTGGCAAACATGTAGACGCCACGTCATTATAATCAAACACACATATGATCATCGTTAAATCAACTGTTAAACTTGACGGTCAATAAATTGTTGTGCTACAAATGACCTAAAACCTTATAGTTCGTTTCATATATGTCATATTGAATAGTTTGGTCTTACGAGTGGAATTAACCCATAAAAATTTATCAAACCGGAATCCTAACAAATGGGTATTACCCTAACCTAAGACTCGTGCATTTGCTTTCTTCTCCCTTTGAAATTAAATGACTTGGACTACAAATCAAAAATCGAAATTGGGGCGATCAAATTGACTTGGCCAATTTACTAGACTTCAATGACCTTCCAGATCCATGGCAAAAAGAAAAACATGCCTTCCAGAATTTGCGCCAATCATACTTCGGAGGAAAGAACCCATAAAATAAACAAAAAGATATTGACTAATAGCAGCAGGTGACTTTTCAAGGAAAAAGAAGCTTGACAATTCAACGAGCCACCACAACAGTAATCAGAAACGACACACGACCGTTCCGCCGCCCAGCTGCCCTGTATATAACCATCTCCATTTCCCTCCCATTCTGAAAAACAGGCACACCCATCTTCCCCAAGCCTTCATCCATTCCATTTCCTCTCCTCCCCATTCTTCTGAGGCTCTCTCCCTCTCTCATTTTTCTTTTTCAACAACCAACTCTTCTCCCACTGTAGCTGTTCTTGGGGTTTTGTTTTGTTTTGTTTTTTTTTTCTGTTATTGCTCCATAAATGGAGGGTGGCGATCTGTTTAAAGCCAGGAACAGTCTCAGGCGAGGCGGATCCGCCTCCGTGTGGAGAAACAATCCGTCGGATGTGTTTTCTGCTTCTTCGAGAGAAGAAGACGATGAAGAAGCCCTGAAGTGGGCTGCTCTAGAGAAGCTCCCCACTTATGATCGTCTCAGAAAGGGCATATTGGCCAGCGCTTCCAAGACTGAGCTCAGCGAGATCGACATCCAAAATCTTGGTGTCGAAGAAAGGAAAGTTCTGCTTGACCGCCTTGTCAAAGTTGCTGACCAGGACAACGAGAATTTCTTGTTGAAGCTCAAGAACAGAATTGACAGGTTTGTACTTTTGCTTCGGTGTGCTCTGTTTTTTTCGTTTCTCTGAGCTACTTTTTAGAGTATGAACATCAGCTAGTATCAATGGTGATCTGAAATAATTTCGCATATTATTAAAACCCTTTTGATAACAAACAACTAAGGACTGTGTAGAGCCAGAAAATAGAGAATAAAATCTGTCTTCGAAACCAGGAGAAGAACTAGACAGAGAATAAGGGAACTCCTCTGTTTTTCTTTACTTATTTCCTCTGTATTTTCCTGTTCTGAATTTGGGATTTGTGGTGTTTGTGAAGGGTTGGAGTAGAGCTACCGACGATTGAAGTCCGGTACGAGCATCTCAACGTTGAAGCAGAAGCAACAGTTGGGAGCAAATCTCTGCCCACGTTCACCAACTTCACTATAGGAATCTTCACGGTAAATGATCATCACTGATGTCAATGAAAGTTTGTATCTTTTGCATTTAGGCTTTAGCTTTTTCCGCTGTAATGTTTCGTGAAACTGAGGAGAAACCTTCCTTCGATCTTTAATAGAGTATCTTGAATGGGTTGCACCTCCTACCCAACAAAAAGAGACATCTCACCATCCTCAATGATGTTAATGGAGTCATCAAGCCCGGCAGAATGACTCTGCTTCTGGGTCCTCCAAGTTCTGGGAAAACATCACTGTTGCTAGCTTTGGCTGGAAGGCTGGATCCTAATCTGAAAGTCTCAGGGAGAGTGACTTACAATGGTCACGACATGCACGAGTTCATCCCCCAGAAGACTTCAGCTTACATTAGCCAGCATGATCTTCACATGGGTGAGCTGACTGTTAGGGAAACTTTGGCTTTTGCTGCCAGAGTCCAAGGGGTTGGATCTCTTCATGGTTAGTTCTTTCTTTCTCTTCTTTTGATTATGGATTCATTTTGATGTTCAAACATGGCTGCTTGCTAAGTCAATATCACTGTGGGGGGGAAATCTGCAGATATGTTGGCTGAGTTGTCGAGAAGAGAGAAGGCAGCAAATATTAAACCTGATCCTGATATTGATGTCTACATGAAGGTGGGTCAAGGCGGCTTCATTATAGTCATTATGCAATGCCATAATTGAGATTTGTTTATGTTGCTTTCAATCCGTTGAAATGATGATGATGATGATGATTCATTCCAGTTTGTATTTAGCCGCCACTAGTATATATTTATTACTTTGAAATCCACTGTATAATTGATAATTGTCCTTTCTTTTGTCATGGTCTGGTACCATTAGGCTGCTGCAACAGAAGGTCTAGAAAGCAATGTGGTTACAGACTACGTTTTGAAGGTAACATTAAGTTTGTGAATTACGAGTTCTCTTTAACGGTTTATAAAAATGAATCTACCTAGGAGACAGTTTCTAATCATCCATTTCTTTGAATAGATCTTAGGGCTGGAAGTTTGTGCAGACACACTTGTTGGCGATGAAATGATCAGAGGTATCTCTGGAGGACAAAGAAAGCGTGTCACTACAGGTGAAATGCTGGTTGGACCAGCAAGGGCATTGTTCATGGACGAGATCTCGACCGGTTTGGACAGTTCCACAACGTTTCAGATTGTGAACTCATTGAAGCAGCAAAATCACATCCTCAATGGCACTGCAGTCATTTCCCTCCTCCAGCCTGCTCCCGAGACATACGATCTCTTTGACGACATCATCCTGGTGTCAGATGGCCAGATTGTGTACCAAGGCCCTCGTGAGAATGTGATCGAGTTCTTCGAGCACATGGGTTTCAAGTGTCCTGACAGGAAAGGAGTTGCTGATTTCTTGCAAGAAGTGAGTATCAGAGAAAGAAATACATGCATTGGCAGAGTTCCACCTTTTGTTGATAGTTATTAATAGTATGGCTCTTTTTCAGGTCACATCGAAGAAGGATCAGAAGCAGTATTGGGCTAGAAGGGATCAACCATACCGTTTTGTTACAACGAAGGAGTTTGCTGAGGCTTTCCAGTCGTTCCACGTGGGAAGAAAGATTGAAGATGATTTGTCTGTTCCTTATGATAGAACCAAGAGCCACCCTGCAGCTTTGGCTACCAAAAAGTATGGAATTGGGAACAAGGAGCTTCTCAAGGCCAACTTCGCAAGAGAATTCTTGCTCATGAAGAGGAACTCATTTGTCTATGTCTTCAAGCTTACCCAGCTATTCATCATGGCACTGCTTGCTATGACAGTCTTCTTCAGGACTGAGATGCATCGCAACACGATCCAGGATGGAGGGATCTTTGTGGGTGCTCTCTTCTTCACACTGATTATGATCATGTTCAACGGAATGGCTGAGCTTTCCATGACCATCGCAAAGCTTCCGGTCTTTTACAAGCAAAGGAATCTGTTTTTCTACCCACCATGGATATACTCCATTCCGCCATGGATCCTGAAGATTCCTGTCACCTTCCTCGAAGTTGCTGTCTGGGTCTTCATGACTTACTATGTCATTGGATTCGATCCTAACTTTGGAAGGTAATTTAAAGGATGCTAAGATTTGACTTCCAATGTTTTAGTCCATGTTACTCAATTTCTTCCTAAACAAACCGTGCACTATAACATTGATATGATAATGCAGGTTGATTAGGTTGTATATCCTGCTGGTAGCAATTAATCAGATGGCTTCTGCTCTCTTTCGATTCATCGCTGCAACTGGAAGGAACATGATCGTTGCCAACACCTTTGGCTCATTTGTTTTGCTTCTTCTCTTTGCGCTGAGTGGATTCATTCTGTCACGAGGTTTGTTATCAGTTAACATTGGTTTTCTAACTTGACATTTTAAAACGTCCTTTGAAATTCCTTATGTCTTACCTTTTCTTTTTGTTTTCACAGAGGATGTAAAGAAATGGTGGGTTTGGGCTTATTGGGCATCACCTATGATGTATGGGCAGAATGCAATAGTAGTCAATGAATTTCTCGGACACAGTTGGAGTCATGTAATTTCCTTATTCCCATCTTCAATTACATAGCTAATGATGTCCTTCCATACCTCTTTTTTCTACTCTTTACTGGACTAATTTCATCTCTTTTTTCCTTTCCAAACTCCAGGTTCCAGCAAACTCAAGCTCAACAGAATCACTTGGAATTCAAGTGTTGAGGTCTCGTGGGTTCTTCACAGAGCCACATTGGTATTGGCTAGGAGTGGGAGCAACTCTAGGATTCCTATTCCTATTCAACATTGTTTTTGCTTTCGCTCTTACTTTCTTGGACCGTAAGTAAACCCACCTAGGCATCCATTCTTCAAGTTTATGCTTCTAGTGAAAGAAACCTTTTGTGCTCATGAATATTGTTTTGATGTGGACAGAGTTTGAGAAGCCACAAGCTGTCATACCTGAAGATGAGACAACCACATCAGCAGGAGCAATTGAGATGTCAACTGGCGGTTCATCCATAACCGCAGCTGCAAATGATGAAGCTGGTGGAAGCAAAAAGAAAGGGATGGTCCTTCCATTTGAGCCTCATTCCATCACCTTTGACGACATAGTATATTCGGTTGACATGCCAGAGGTTAGTTAGTACAAAGAGAAGCAGCTAGCAAGAAAAAAGCATGTAGGCTTCGTTCTTGTCATTTTGGGACAACGACTAACCGATCATTTCCCTTTTCCTTTGGTCTCCAGGAAATGAAAGGTCAAGGTGTTGCTGAAGACAAACTGGTTCTTCTAAAGGGTATTAGTGGTGCTTTCAGGCCTGGTGTTCTGACAGCTCTTATGGGAGTGAGTGGTGCTGGTAAAACCACTCTTATGGATGTGCTTGCTGGAAGGAAAACTGGTGGCTACATTGAAGGAAACATCACCATATCTGGATTCCCTAAGAAGCAAGAAACCTTTGCTAGGATTTCAGGTTACTGTGAGCAGAACGACATTCATTCTCCACAAGTGACAGTGTATGAGTCTCTAGTCTACTCAGCTTGGTTGCGTTTACCCCAAGAAGTTGATGAAAAGACTAGAATGGTAAGTTTTCCATCCTCAAGTACAGCTGCCTTAACGAAAGTTACTGTCTATTTCTGATTTGTTTGTATAAAGGCAATAAATCAATCTGAGATTCTAACTTGCATTTATATATATAACAGATGTTTGTCGAAGAAGTGATGGATCTCGTAGAGCTAAACCCCTTGCGTAACTCTCTTGTTGGACTCCCGGGTGTGAGTGGATTGACAACTGAGCAACGCAAGAGGTTAACAATTGCAGTTGAATTGGTGGCAAATCCATCCATCATCTTCATGGATGAGCCAACGTCAGGATTGGATGCTAGAGCTGCTGCTATTGTCATGAGAACAGTTAGAAACACCGTGGACACTGGTAGAACTGTGGTGTGCACCATCCATCAGCCTAGCATTGATATCTTTGAAGCTTTTGATGAGGTAAATTATTGTTTACCAGTAAGCATAAATTATCAGAAGTAAGGAAACTACAACGAGTGTTTGAGATTGTTTTTTTCTTAAATGTTTATTTGCAGTTATTCCTGTTGAAGAGAGGAGGACAAGAGATATACGTTGGTCCTCTTGGCCGCCATTCTACCCATTTGGTGAAATACTTCGAGGAAATCGAAGGAGTGAGCAAGATCAAAGATGGGTACAACCCTGCAACATGGATGTTGGAGGTGACCACCACAGCACAAGAGATAGCCCTAGGAGTTGATTTCACAGATGTATACCGAAACTCGGACCTCTACAAGAGAAACAAGGCCCTGATCAAGGACTTGAGCAAGGCAGCCCCAGGAGCCAAAGAACTCTACTTCCCAACACAATACTCACAACCCTTCTTGACACAGTGCATGGCTTGCCTGTGGAAGCAGCACTGGTCCTACTGGCGTAACCCGCCATACACAGCTGTCAGGTTCTTGTTCACAACCTTCATTGCCCTCATGTTCGGAACCATGTTCTGGGATCTCGGTGGCAAAACATCGAGGAACCAGGACCTGTTCAACGCGATGGGAGCGATGTTTGCAGCAGTGTTGTTCCTTGGTGTCCAAAATGCATCCTCGGTGCAGCCTGTGGTAGCCATCGAAAGAACTGTGTTCTACAGGGAGAGAGCAGCAGGGATGTACTCTGCCTTGCCTTATGCCTACGCTCAAGTGATTATAGAGATCCCTTACATTCTGGCCCAGGCTTTGGTGTATGGAGTGATCACATATGCCATGATTGGATTCGAATGGGACGCGAAGAAGTTCATGTGGTACATCTTCTTCATGTACTTCACACTCCTCTACTTCACTTACTACGGGATGATGACCGTCGCCATCACGCCAAACCACCATATTGCCTCCATCATCTCGTCTTTCTTCTACTCCATCTGGAATCTCTTTGCCGGGTTCATTGTCCCTAGACCTGTAAGTCATCCATCTTACATTCATTGTTTTGATTTCTATCTCTTCATTACTATTATCATTAAGGGAATGAACTACAAGAAAAACTAATTAATGAATATCTTTCATTATGTGCAGACTATCCCAGTGTGGTGGAGGTGGAACTACTGGTTGAACCCGATCTCGTGGACGCTATACGGTTTGATTGTGTCGCAGTATGGAGATGTGAGGAGCCCAATGGAGGAAACAGGGGAAGCTGTGGAGGATTTCTTGAGGAGCTACTTCGGTTTCAAGCATGATTTCTTGGGTGTCATTGCTGGAGTCATGGTTGGATTGGTAGCTGTCTTCGCCTTCATCTTTGCCATCTCCATCAAGTCTTTCAACTTCCAGAGAAGATAGATAGACTTTCATAGCCAAGGAAAGAGTGATAGCTCAGACCCATTACATCTACTTTGCCATTTTTGTTGTTGTTGTTGTTGTTGTAAGTTTTAGGTGGTTTCTAATTCTAATTGGCTGCTAATGTCATATAAACAAAGAGTATTGAGTGTATTAGTTCATTAATCCCTGTGAAATATGATGTTGTAAAATGGTTTTGCTTCAATAACATCATCTCTGTTATATTCATATGCAGACTGCAGTATCTATGGATACATGGACTTGCCTTAGGTCAAGATTCTACATCATGGACTTGCCCTTAGGTCAGGATTCTTAATTTGGAGTTGTGAATTGTGATATACATCAAGATACTAATCTTTTATGGGATCTTCCTAAAGGCTTTTCAGTTTGCTATATTTTTACAGGAAGATTAAGTAGTAAGTTGAACCAATGGGCAAAACTCTTCATTGCAAACTAGAGTAGATACAACCTGGAATTTGCCTTCTGAGTCCCGAGTCAACCATTGAAAACCGAACAGTTGGGTAACATCGAACGGACACCATTTGGCAACCATAAGCGCCGGGTTGAGTTACGTAGCTCATAGTTCCATCCAGAAATGATATCTATAACAATATACACAAACAACCATACCAATTAATAGAGTAAATGAGAGTCTTCTTCCAGCAATCACAAGCCATATTTACATTAAGCAAGCTCCAGATTGTTCTACGCTTGCTCCCGCAAAGACGATGAATTGATAATTTGGAAGGCCTTATGGAATGTATATCCGAACTTAAAAGTAGTTCAACCCTAGCCGATACCCCAAGGCTGCCGCTACGCAGAGCCCTTGAGCACTGACGGTTCGACATAATCAGCAGCTGCACTATCGTCTACGGCTAACTTGCTTTCCACTTCATCGAAGTAGTCTTCTCGAACATTGGCAGCCAACAT